TGGGCGACCCCCTTCAAAAGGAGTCCTTCACTACGAGGGGTCGAACAATTTTCCACAGGTGGCAAAAGACCCCTCTGTTCCAAGCGAGACTGGTGGCCGCGCACTTCTTTGAGACTGTCAGCTGAAGCTGGGTCAATACTCGATACCCTTTTGGTTGCCCTTCGGATTTTGAGTGTCGAAGCCTTGGGTCGCTTCCCCCCGCCGGGTTTCCCATCAGCCAGTCATAGGAAGGTGGCCAAGCCACCGCGAATCTCCACCGCCGCAAATCGTGCGGAAATCGGCGCATTGTACAGTGCGACAGGTGCTGAAAAGGAACAGGCTTGTGGTTGATCACTCGAGGTTTGTCCAACCACTTCTGTGATACTTTTGGGAATTTCCTTTTTTTGTATGGGGGGTTGATTTTTGGGAACCCCTTTTGGTTGTATCACAGAAGTTGTCATTTCCCAGCCCGGAAAAGGCAGGTATATTCTCCTAGTGAACACTCGCTCACTTTGTTCGGTTTGCTTGCCTCAAGCTGGTCAAGTGTTAGGGCGCGGGCGTCCCCAAAAGCAAGGCGTAACTCATGGGCGACCCTGATCTATCGTCCAGCTCAGCATATCGGGCTGCCACGGCCAAGGGTGAAACAGACTGAAGCCTCGCTTCATGAACATTCAAGAGCCTTGTTTTGCTGTTGAAAGCAGTGCGTGCGCCTGGGTGGGTGGGTGGGTGGGTGGGTGGGTGGGTACGTGGGTACGTGGGTACGTGGGTACGTGATTGAGTGGGTTTCTGAGTGAAGAAGGGAGTGAGTGGCGCGGCAGCCCAGCAAGTCATCCCCATCAGCTGCTGAAGGAATTGAATTGCTGTGCTGGCTGCTGGCTTACCGTCCCACCAATCAACATGGAACCTGACGTTCAGGGTGGACCATTTTACTAAAGGGCTGGGTTATTCGGTGGGAGACCCAAGCGGCGGAAGTGCAGCATAGCGGCTCAGCAGCTCGGGTGTTGATTCAGCATCTTTCCGCCATGGCCCTGTTCGCCGCAGCTCGGGAGCGGACGCCCAGTGGATCTTGCACGGGCCCTGCGTGAGCTGTTGGTCACAAGGACAACCCTAATCGCTTCACCCTAAACATAAAAAACGCCCCCTTGAAAAAAAACAACTCCATCGGGCTGGCTGGAACGATATTCATTTATATACCTGGAGTCTCCATGACCCCCATTTTTTAAGGGTCATGGAGACTCCAGGTAGGGGATTCGCGCTTGTCCAAGTCGGACCCTCCCTTTGCGGGCCCAAGAATGATTCCAAACGGCAATTTCCGAGAGAAGTTCACCAGAAGTCCAGGTAAAAAATCGAATTCGTGCTGCTGAATTGCTTTAAACATAGGTTTAGGTCTAATTACTCTTGGTTTCGTGTTGGCTTGGTATTGATTTCGCATTGGGGTCCCCAACTGTAGTCCGGCTGGGATTGGGCCTGGGCGAGAACTCAGGCAGCTTCGTATTGTTTTGGAATTGGTCGATTCGAGAAGTTTCTTGGCACCCGGCGGCCTGGGGCTCTGGGGAAAACGATCATTTTAACGATTGGCTGATTTTTTTATTGAAAGGGCGGGGAGTGATTACCACTGGCTCAAGACTTCGGGTAGAGGAAGGCTAGTACGGGACAATCCCCTTGCCATAAATGGCGGCGGATATCCGGCTTCTTAATTCTTTACATGGCTCTGGGTCGATCATATTATAGTACCTGGTTTTGATGACTCACCTGGTTTGGGCCCCCACCGGTTCAAAGGTCGCCCCGGGCGGCCTTTGGAAATGAACTCACGGTGTTGAGTCCATTGCCGCACTTGTCTCAGAAGCATCAAGGCACTGAAGCCTGGTTGGCCTTGCACGCTTGGAATTCCACTCGGAGCAAAACCTAAGGACCTATGTGCACAATACCGTGATGTGGGGAAACATGATTTTGCAAAGGTTTGCCGGGGGTTCGACAAGCGTTGGCCCAACTCTTGTAGGTTGGCACCATGCCGGTTGGGTTTGCAATCGTTGCGGGCCGTACTTGGCAGCCGGACAGTTGCCTTCCCAGTCGGCGCGACTTCCGCGAACCATTTGTTAGGTCAGGGAGCAGAGTCATTCTGGGTTCACAAGCAATCGCCTGTGCGACCCCGGGCCTATAGGCCACATCTGGCGCAAGAGTTGGGCCTGAAGCATCTGAAGCCATGAGATGTGGAGCTGCATACACGAGCAGTTGGACAGTCATTCCCTGGCCTGATTCGGCAACTGAGCCGCAAGTGCTTCAGCATCATTCGACCCAGCCCAGCCCAGGCCTTTCGCGCGCCCGCGCGTCTGCCGGGGCCGCAGACGGGTTTTCGTCGGACCAGAAGAGGGGGCCATGGGAAAAGGTTGGGCAAGCGATTCGCCACGCCCAATCCTTCTGAATTGGGGTAGAGGTTGCGTTGATTGAAGATATCTACTGCTGATTGTGGGGGACAGCCCTGTAGAATCTGTGAACGGCACGACGTGCAATTAACAATCTCATCACTTTGATTAGCCAGTCGTGTCAACCGGAACGCCTCCCGAAAACAAAGAGGAAGTTCCCTTCGAATCCTTGCAAGTCTGCAAACATGCTTGCTGGGTAATTCAAGCTGCGCTGCGTATTGGAGGTATGCCCTATTATCTTGGCACCAAGGATGTTGCATATTGATATGTTGGACGCTTCCTTTTTCAGCATTGGGCTCAGAAGCGGTCGAAATCGGAGCACCTCAAACTGGGCTACTCGTGGAGTGTCAGCCAAGCAACCCATGTCCGTGTTCCTTGTTCATTGCTGTGCCGGGCGATCGGGTTCGCCCCAATCCGCCGAGGATCCAGCCATCTTTTTCTGGGCGACCTCACCTTGGAATGGAACACACCATGCGCCCGTACCCACCCATGATGCTTTGTTTGGTGATCCCTCGTGTCAGCTTCGCACACACCCTTCACGCCGGCTTGCCAGTAGTGCCCTTTTCAGCCCCTTTTTTGCTTGGTTTTGGGTTCCCCTACTAAAATAGACTACAGAAAAAGTTGGTACCCTCATTCTACCCTCTCCACCGGAGGACCTGGCCAAATTAGCGGAAAAAAGGAAACCGCGACCACGCCGGCGAACACGCGCTTCTCCGCCCGCCATGGACGCCTTGTCCTCCGCCCCGGTGCAGTACACCTCCCTCGAGCCGGACGAGTTCGATGCAGAGGCCAGCCCCGAGGAGGTGGAAGCCTCAGGGCCAGAGACCCCCGAGGAGACGCCGGAGAAGCTCGGCCTCAAGGAGGCGCGAACCCGCGCGCGCGAACTTGGCGAGGTTCTTTAAGCAAGCCCCCACTTTTTTGTTCTTCCATGTGTCCATGAGCTACTAATTACTATACACGCACGACTAGAAATGCACAAACCAAATAAATATGATGTGCAACTTCAAGAAAATGAACCCACGCAAACACACAAACACGCGCCTTGCGCGCCATTTTTTGTTGCCCGCAAGAAGGCCCTCAAAAGAACCCGCTGGCCCCCCCCCCCCCGGCCACTTCCATGGGGCTTCCCGCGAGTCGCTGGTGCTGCCGCGCTTCGATGCCTGGGCCAAGCGCCTCGACGCGGCGGCGGCGAATGCGGCGCGGGAGCTTTACGAGCGCTTGAAGGCCTGGGGCACTTTGGTCTCATGGAACCCTAGGGACTATAAAAAAAAAGTAAAAAACAATACAACAAGTGCTATAGGAAGGTTCTGGTTTTGGTAGGTATTTGGCTAACTTTCTGTACCTGGGCCTTTTCTTTGCTTGAGTTTACAACGTCTAGGGGCGTGCTATCCTTGCAAAGTCAGGCGGTTTGGGTGTCAGGCCAAACCATCCGTCGACTGCGATCAGAAGCGCGCAAGCCGTCAGGTGGTTTCTTTGGTGCATGTTGCTCGGATGTTGGGACTTTCACTTTTTGCCAACTAATGGCCTGGAGTTCCCCCCCAACCTCAGAAGCCATCCTCCTGGTAATCCATAGGGATACCTCCCATTTGGAGGGGGGAACTGTTCACGAATCGATCCCTGACGTTTTTTTTCCTGGCTGGCACCATTCTTGCTTTCTTGGTCGGCAGGGGGCCACGGCGAAACGGGGAAAACATCAGAAGCGCAACCCGCGCAACTGAAGACCTGCAAGGCGCAGAGGGTTGAAGTACCTGAGGATGGCTTTTGGGGTGTAAGAAGGGGTCTAATTACCTTAGGTGCTTGGACCCTCTGGGAGGGTTTAGTTGCACAAGCTTCGAAAAGAAGCAAGAGCTCACTGTTTTAGATTCAGCTGAGAGTTGAGGCGAGGTCGGGTGACTTTCGCAGACCTTGAGGAGAGTGGATGTCCAATTTGGTGGTTCATTGAAAGGGGTCAATTGCGGCGACTTCACTCGAAGGATGCACCATGCGTCATTGCCTCATTAGGTACCGGATTCTGCCACTAACATGGCACCTAACAGCATTTCAGGTACCTCTCAAAGGCTACGACAGTGGGAGCGGTATCCTTCCCTTGAACCTGCCACTGGAGGAGGTTCCACAAAGGGAGATGGCTCGGACGGTCGCATCGTCCTGCGATGTCGTCGGATTTGTTTCCCGTCGGAGAGGTGCACTCGCAGTCGGAGAGCATGGCCTCATCCACCCGGAGCTTCAAGGTGCATTTCTCCATCGCTGGCATGCAAGGACTCGGTAACAAGTGGGGGGCATTTTGTACATCCAGGGCTCACCGGTAAGAACCCTGGACAAACAAAAACCAAGGATTCCAACGATGGTTTTAGACATCTTTGGGGTAGAACGAACAAAAACAAAGATCTGTTTGGGGCCTGGCGTTTTCTTTCTTTTGGCCAGAAGGGAAGTTGAGCTCACTATGTTGCTTGGCTACCCTTATGAATAGATCCAGTGCGAAACCAAGCGGAAAATTCGGCGAGTGGTCATCACATATTCATCTGACCTTGTGACCAACCCCACAGGAGTTTACACACAGACCTCTTGCGCGGATCCGCTGGCGCCCACGTGGGCCGTCAGCACGGCTGGACAGATGGAGCTGGTTCCGAATCTCGAGGCGGAATGGGTCTTGGACGATGAGACGCTTCTGCAGTGCCAGCACTTCGCCGGTGGTGAAACAAAGCAAAGCAGCCTGGCAGAGTCAACGTGAAGAACCAAAGCTCTGCAACACACCAATCCTGAGGGATCCGTTCACATTTAAGTTGTTATTGTGTGGGGGGCAATTCTTGAAGAGCGCAGGAGTCGGCGCTGTGTTCCACCATTTGGGCTTGCATCGGATGTGTCAGATCATCAAAACATCTGATCTGCCAAACACAATTGTGCAAGGACGCCATTGAACAACAAGCTCTTAAACATATGATCATCGAGAAAAAAAAAGGAAAAAAAGAAGGAAACAAAAACATCAGGCTCTTAAACATTCTACCGGGATCAGTGGTTGCCTCCACTTTGTTTCTTCCCAGGCATCGATGAGGCCCGACTGAGCGATCGCTTCGGCTCCGACTTCATCGCTTCGCTGGGCGGGATGCCGCGGCTGCTGCAGTTCCTGGGCGTAGCTTCTTGACTGCTATTGGGCAACGGATCTTCAGACTTTAACTTTCCGGTTGAAAGGGGAAATCTCCACTAAACCCACAAACATAAGTTTATACATACTAAACCTACCAAAACTGAAAGTGTTCCATTAAATCTTATTGGTTTTGCACTAAACCCACCAAAGAGTCATTCACTTTTTGCCGAGGGGTCGTTACAGCAGCCAAGGTTTGCGCGGATCCCAAGGCGGCGGAGTATGCCGAGGTCTTACCCTTTGGCCTTCCGGACGCCCTTCTGCGCACCAATGCGCTCGACGGGAAGTCGTGAACCGCGCTGTGAACGTTGGAATGCGGAGTGCATGCAGCTTGAAAAGGGGCAAGGCGTTTCCTGAGGTTGGAGGTTGCAGAGGTTTGCAACCTGCTAAGTCGCCATGGTTTCTTGCTGGAGTTTGGGGAACCTTTACTCAGGTTCCCCCTACTTGGTGGTTTGGATTGGTGCTTCGGAAATGGATTTGAACCCCTTCTTGTAGAGGGTAAATGGGAAACCGCTCCTGAACCACCAAACCACCAATCCAAACCACCATCTAGACTTCCCCAGCATTGGCTCCCCTTTTGGCTTCTTTGCTTTTTTGGGGTTCTGGTTTGTTTGCCACCAACCAGGCAAAAAGGCAATTTTTTGCTGGGGTTCTAAGTCCAGCCCAGTAGGGGGTCAGCGGATGTATGGCGCATTTTGCAGCAGCTGGGCGAGTAGAGGTAAAGGGCTCCGATCGGATCGGTCCCGGTCACGAAGTCTTTCGCCTGTCGTTTGAGCACCGACTCAGATCCGTTTCGGACTGGCTTAGTGTCATAGCGTCATGGCCTTACTCACTTGCCCACAGCGAGTCGACCGGATCTGAGCTTTTGGTGTTCCTGGTTTGGTCCATATTTAGCTAGGTCCCCCAGTAGTGCCTTTTTGTTTCCCTTTTTTGCAGGAGGGTTCCCCTACGAAAATAGAGTACAGAAAAAAGGGTACCCTTATTCTAACCTCTCTACTGGAGGACCTAGTTTATTTGTCACCTTGCGTCCAAGATGCCTAGCAGGAAGGTAGAAACTGAAGGATTGGGCCTCACTCATTGACCCCAAATATAAAAGCTCCTGCTTGGGCTCTTCAGGGCAATCCTTCATCCTTACCTTGGGTTACGCAAGGAACCGGTCCCCTTTGCAGTTGCTTCCCTACTAAGGATGATGGAAAATCGGATAGGCCAACCCTCCATTTTGAACCGCCCAGTCCCTGTGTTTTTCCATTTTTTGGGGGATGGTTCCCCCTGAAGCTCAAACTTAGGGATGCCCTTCTTTGCCCATGGCCACATCTCCGAAAAGCTGGGTGGGGCAAAATATGGTTTAGTCACCTGGTTTTCCTGGTTTGGTCCATATTCAGTTCAGGTTCCAAAAGGTGATCGCCTTTGATTTGTGGGTCTGTTGGCTAACTGAGTCTCCGAAAAGCTCCGGGATAATTTTGGTTGGAGCGCAAACTCGAACTCGGCAGGTCCTTCCAGTCTTTCAGGGGGTTCTCGGTGAAGTATGCGCCCACCCACGAGTGGTTCAAGAGCTCCTCGCTCGATTCAGCTGGATTCGACGTGGGGCAGCTGGACGTCGAGAAAACCCCCCCCCGAGGTGCCCGTTTCGGACTTGAAACTGTTGAGGTAGATCCATGTGGGTGTGGGTCAAAATTAGTCACCACCAGGAATTGGACCGCAGGTTGCAGTCGTGTTTCCATTTGCCAGGGTTCCATTTTGGGTACGTATTTTTGACCCACAGCCATTTGGCCATGGGTTGCATCACCTCTGGCGAGCCATTTTGGGGGTGGATGAACATCCATGTGCCACCTTGATGTTCACCAGGGGTACAGGGTTTTGACCCACAGCCATGATTTTGTGGCAAATGAACAGTTTGGACTTGTTCTAGCCAACCCACTCAGGAAGTGAGAAGTCGACGTTTCTATAGGTGGGAGCCTTGAGCTTTGACACGGCGCGGCCGGAGAATCACAACACTTCACGGGCAAATTGGATGCCTGGAACTGGGTTCGTGTTGATTTGTTGTTGTGAGGGTCCCCGGTCTTCTGAGGAGTGGTGTTTGGATGGGCTGGTGTGACGGGGTCGGTTGGGAAGGTGGACAATGTCTCTGCTTGTGTTATGGATGCCTGTTCCTCGTTTTTCCAAAGAATGAGAGTCTTGCTTGTGCTAGTACCCCTTTTTTTGGGGAACCCTCCTACTAAAATAAACTACAGGAGAAAAAAATGGGTACCCTTGTTCTAACCTCTTTACTGGAGGACCTAGTGTGGTACATGAGAGAAGTACGTTGTTTGCGGGCCATTTTGGTAAACAGCTTGCTGGGCGGAAGGTGGCAAACGCTCCGAAGACAGAAGCCGACCAGTGAAGCAGGATTGGTTTCGGAATATAAGTTTGGACACGTTGAAACGACGTCCAACGCCTGAAAGTGAAGCACTCCTAGGGGTAGCTTCCATTTCCATTCTTTCCAGGGATCCTTCTTTTCAGGAAACCACAACGTCAACCAAGTTAGAATCCTTGCGTAACCTGGCCATCCGAGGTGAAGGGAACAAGGCCACCATGGGCATCTCTGACTTCGCGCAGGGCCAGCTGGGAGAAGTCGTGTACTGCACCTCAGCTGCACTCGCCGTAGGGGCTGATGGCGCGCTACCGGTCACCCACATGCAACCTGCGAAGGATTTTTTCTTTGGAAAGAGATTGAGCTTCCAGCGTGCTTCCGCGAGAGGTGTTTGTTTTTCGGCTTGAGTCACGCAAAAAACGGCACACAGCCAGATCATAGACAGGACGGACGCAGCAGAAATGCAGAGAAATCCAGCCCAGCCCACACCCGCACGCCCTTGCGTGCACGCCCACCCTCTCGCGCCCCCACATGTACGCGCCTCCACGCACGTTCGCATGCAAGAGTTCTGGGGTAGGGCTCCAAAATTCATCCCTTTTGCAAATCAGTGTTGGGAGGAATGCTTGGTGAGATGCCCCTGAAGCTGATCTTAGCCATCAGCGACTTGCGCGAGTTGCCGATTTGAGTTTTTGGTGACTCTGGTTTCACGCCGGCGTGGAACATCTCCAAGCGCCTTTCTGGACGGTCTGCTAAACCGCGCAGCGGTTTCTGCCAGACAATATGTACCAGCAAGCCTTTGTTCGGGGGTAAATTTACTGATTAATATTGCCGCAAGAGCCGGTGAACACATTTTGCTCCGGAAAGCAAAATGAATGAAGGAATTCTTCAAGCAGGTGCATAAAAACGCATCAAAGCATGTGCATGTCCTTTTTGGGGGACCCTAAGGCATGTGTGCTTCCTTGCTGTCTTTTTAGAGCCACCAAGAAGGGGGTAACTCCAAAAACGGACCACCTGTGCATGGCGCTCATGGCTGGTCCTCTTCTCTTTTGCACGTGGGGAGGCTGTCCTTTAAAACCGCCTTAAGGAAGAACCCCAGTTGCCCAGTGCCCTGTTTTCAGCTTTTCTTAGGGAAGGGTTCCCTAAAAAATCTCGACCAACCAGAAAAAGGAGGGCATCCTGTCTTTCCCCTGGCCACACATCTGAGGAAAGGGGCAACTCCACAAAAGGACATACCCACATGGTGGTCACAGCCCATGCGCCAAAACGCCATGTTTCTCGTCGATATTCGGAAGGGACGCTGGCGCGATAGGTAGGGAATGTGGTTGAATGGAATTTTTAGGGACACCACCAGCATGGGATGGCTTTCTGGGGGTCATTCCAAGTCTCATGCCCCGCCTCCCTGGCACCGATTGCAAGAAGATGTGACCTTCCATTTGCTCAAGATTGTTTATTTTTATTATTTTCCCCTGTTGGTTTTAAAGGGAACCTATCACTACTGGATCGCTACTGGATTTTTTCCCCGGCTCGCGGCTCGCGTTTCAGGCGAGCTGCCGGAGGTGGGCGCCAAGTTCTCCGCCAAGGACACCGTGTGCACCCTGGAGAGCGTCAAGGCGCGGTTTTGCGGCGTGCGGCGTTCGGTGCCTTTTTAGGATTCCCATCTATTTTTCTAAAAGGCCACCTATGAAGGAGCGGCGTTCTTTGCGTATTGGGTGTGGGCCACGGGGTCGAAAACGGCCCGGCGAGTCGGAGTTGGCAAAGCGGAGCGGCGGTTTTTGTTGTTGTGTGTTTTTTTCTTGTGGGTTAGGCTCTTCTTCAGGTAAACCCATGAACTGGTGGTTTGGATGGGGGGGGGTTGAACTTCTGGTTTTGTTTGGGTGAGCCTCCCGTCCACGTTGCCATGGCACATTTCGGAATTGGTGCTGGTTTGGGCCATCCTTTCCTTTAAAAAGGGGCCTCCAGTTGGGTTCCATGTTAGGGGGTTGGTTTTTGCCGGGTTAGTTTTTTGCCGGAGTGGGATGTGACACGGATGTGTATCCGGAGCACAAAACGGTAAATTGCATGACAAGGACGTCATGCTACTTGTTACCTGGAGTGCTGACGGGGATCGGCTTGGCTGAGAGAGGATGACGCTACCCGAACCGGGGTGAAGGTGCCGAGTGTGGTCCAAGAGTTTGCGTTTGGCGCCTTCACATCTACCTTGCAGCCCCTGCCTTCCGAAGACTTGCCTCATACTTGCCTTCAAAAGGGCATTCACTTGACCTGGGGCACCCCGCCTGGCCGCAAACTGCCTCTTTCCCACAGTCAGCACTCAGCTCTTGAAGGCACCTAGCACTATTTGTTGTGCAGGCTGTGGGCGAAGTTTATGCGCCGGTGGATTGCCGCTCGGACGGGTTGGAGCAAATCTGACAGGGACCTGACCAGATTTTTTTTGCGCGCAGCCCGGAGGCAAAAACAACAGTCAGCGGCCCTTCAAGGGAGGAATGTTGACAAAGGGGCCGAGGGCGATCCTCCTTCGCTCGCTTGAGTCGAGACCATTCGGTGGTTTCCTTAGGCTCAGTCGCGGGCCCTTCCTTTGAGAAAGCTGTGTGAGTCCTGAAGTCTGCCAGCCGTGCCTTCCGCAACAATCATGGTTTCCGGTGACGCGTGCAGG